GACCGAGCTCAGGTAACACTCGCTAGCCTTCTGCGTCACGTTCCTCACGATCCCGCTCTTCTCGTCCTCAAGATCGCTCTTACTCTGCCTGAACCTCAAGCTGTGTGGCGGTAAGAACGCCTTGGCGTCTATAACTGTCGCCCCGTTCCAGCAACTGAACACCTGTAACGGCAAGTGCTTCTCCCATCGTCTCCGTTCGGCTTCGTCGTCTTGAAGCGTACCGGGTGCGGTCTTGGGGTGTTCTTTCGGTCCGTAGAACCAGTCGAACCAGTCAATGAGGTCGTTTGTGCGGTAGAAGTTACGACCGGACATGGCGCGGAGGATCCAGCGGTCGTAGATGATCTCTCCTGGATCCCAGTCCGTAGCGCAGGCTTGATGCATCCCTTGTTGCCTGTATTGGAGTAGTACTTCGAGAAGGTCCGGCGCGCAGAAGAATATGTCGTTCACGAAGAAGATCTCGTGTGGTTCGCCGCCTAATGCGAGGGTAGCTTGACCGGTGAATAATGGGCTGAGGGCAGCGTTGCGGGCTGCGGCTAGCACGGCGATGCGTCGGTTACCTTCTTTGTTGGCGTGTCGGGAGTCACCGTAGGATACGATTTGGTGTGCTACGCCGAGCGCGTCGAATAGCCGTCCTACTGCGAGATAATCAATCAGTATCGTGGCACACGTGCAAAGTTGGAGTCGAGACGTACTCACAGTCCCCAAGATATTCCTGCGTCCCGTCGCTGCTCCCGTCCTCGTATATCGTTATGAACACGTTCTTAACGCCGATCCACTCGAGCACCACAGGTAGCTCCTGCGCGATCGTGCTCATGAGCTCGCGGTTCTGATGCAAGTTCATCGCCAGCACGATGCGTTTATTTGTATTTCGCAGTGGCTGGTAGCGCGAGTCGTGCCAGGGCGTCCACGAACAAGTCGGCCGGCGGTGCGTGTTCGTTTTGGCGTTTAACTCGTTTTGAATCCGTGTGGCGGCGGGTACGGATAATAATCGCGACGCTTTTCCCTGTCCGTCCTGTATCGGCACCACCGGCATCCCGACCAACATCTCATCCCGGCTGATCCCAGAGACAGGCAGACTCCCAGACGAATGTGCGTGCAAGCCCAAGAATAGCAGTATTACTACGGTCGCAGTGCCAATGAACAGCGCGCGCCGGCTGTTGCATAGTCGTGACTGGCCGTGGGAGGGTGAGGACGAGAAGCGCCGATGTCGCGGGCTNTTTTCTTGGCGTGTACTGTATAGGCACAGCAGGAAAGATTGAAGCGGGAGATGCGAACGCGCTTCGCTAAGTGCTTCAAGATTTTGGGACAATCATCGTACGATAGAAGTCCACATCTGAGAGGCCCGCGCTGATATGTACCCACGCGGAAGAGTAGACATGAAGTTATAACATATACGCCCGACCCCTCAAACCACAGAGCCACATCTTCCACAGCACAAGTAAATAATCATCGGCGCATATCCACCCTGAGAGTATGTACATGCAATCCTGAGTTAGTCCGATGCAGCGGCCAGATATCCCTACGAACACCAAAGTTAACCCCGATTATTGCGTTCAGAGTTAAACACACATACCTCACGATCACCAAGAAACTCGGTATAGGCCAGCGCAGCTGCAACCCAGAATACGACATCCACACCCAGCGTGCTGATCTGTGCAAGATCCAATTCCAATTCGCCAGAACTTGCATTCATCGTCCATACGGGCGTCGTGTCCCTAAACACAACCAAAGGTTCGCCAAGTGCGCCCGCGGCCAGATCGGGGTGCAACGGTCTTCGCATGGGTGCTGCGCTGTTCGGTGTGGGTGTGATTGGTGGTGAAGCCGTTGTTGTCGACGGTATGACCGGCGACAGCGAGAAAGAGTTGTTGACCGTTGGTGCATTCGTACTGATAGCGCGGGCCATGCGAGCAAAGATCCCTTCCTGCTTGTGCGGGATGGCGTGCACATGTGGACTCAGCACGAAGGAGCTAGTCCGGGTGCGTAATGCCGGCGACTCCAGTTCTGCCAACTTTGCGTGCACGGATGATGGTGATGGCGGGGAGACGACCACAGCAGGCGGTGTTGGTGGTGGTGGGTATGTGTGAGAGTCGGGCGCAGATGGTGGCGCTGCTGGCGCAGATGGGGTGAGCGTCTTGCACATGAGGTACAGTGCTGCGGGAACGTGCAAGGGTGAAGCTGATGATAAGGGCTCCAGTGCGATGCCTGGCGAGTTTGGTGGGAAGTTGGGGGCGCGCAAGCGGATGTACCATCCTCGCAAGGGCTTGTGGATTGTCCAGAGCAGACGCGAGGTTGCGTTATCCTGATGAACGTCAGCGCGAATGCCTGTATGTCATGGACGGGGAGTACTGACCACAACGTGTTCTACGATCTCGTGTTCCGTCAAGAACACCTCCTACACCCATACGCGGAGTACTTCAGTTCCATGTAGCTTGAATATGGCGTCAGCACATACCTTGTACCAAATGACTGTGTTCGTACCCGCAGCTAGCACATTGATTCGGTTGTCCGACACGACGTCCGAGCTGAACGTGTTCAAGTTCAGAAAGAGCGCACACGCATCTTGCCATGCGTTACCTGCGTACGGTGAACCTTGCTCTACTCGAAGGTCCCAAGGCTGGCACAGGTGTCGAAGGGAACCCAGTTCCATTATTCAAGGAGTTCCGTGGGCTCGCGACGGACATGACTGCGGAGTATGGCCGGTTCAAAGTTCAAACGGAAGGATAAGAATACAGGAGTAGGTTTGGTTTCCGGATAGCCGAGGTCTGATATCCAAGGCGAGGCGTAGAGGCAAGCCCAAGGAATGAGGATGATGAACGCAGTACTCCAAGTCGAACGGTCGCGCGGCGCGTCTGGGATCCCCATTGCCTTTTCGGGCCACTTCCTGTTAAAACACGCTCTCGCGTGTTCTGCGGCAACTCGCGAGCTTCGCGTACGCAGTTCTGAGCTTTCTTCTGGACAACCACCAGCCCACATCGTTCGTAGTATGCGCACGTCGTACCCTAGCTCAGAACAACCCCGGAACATATTTCCGAGAATATTATGCTACATCACCTCTCTTCCAATGGGGAATAACTCTCCCGCGCTGGTTAGCACCCGTGCTCCTCTCGACGGTTCGGACTCTTCTTCACCCGCATGACGGTACCATGAGAGGAAGTAGTAGTAGTACGCCTCCATTCGAGTCATTTGCTGGTCATCTGCTTGGGTGGTGCCACCGCCATAAAAGTCTCGGTCATCGCTTCAGCTTCCCTTCGCTGACTATCATGCCTGAACTCACCGCCGAGTCTGATCCTGTCGCGTTCTATGGCTTCACTGCCGTTCCTCGTGATCCAGATGTCCTATTCAAGGACCATCCCACCGCATCAGGATCTAATCCCAAGCAAGATCTCTTCACCGTCGCAGACTTCCCAGCGCCCGATTCGGCCGTGATACAGGCCGTCGACGCTTTCGTCAAGGTGCCGATCGCAGTGCTCTGACTCTTCTTTGCATTGCTGATCATTACCTGCAGAAAGAGCTTATTCCGCAAACATACAACCACTCCCGGCGCGTCTACGTCTACGGACTCGCAATCGCGCGCACCCACTTCCCCGAGTGGCGCTTCGATCCCGGCACCTACTACCTGTCCTGTCTCCTCCACGACATCGGAACCGCCGATCGCTTCCTGAGCACGACGAAGATGAGCTTCGAGTTCAAGGGCGCGATCGTCGCGCGCGAGCTCATAAGGGACCATGAAGGAGCGGAGGACCAGGCGGATAGTGTCTGCGAGGCGATCGTACGGCACCAGGATATCTTTGTGACGGGTGGAAATATCACCATGGTCGGTCAGCTCTTGCAGCTGGCGACTATACTCGACAACGTTGGCAAGTGCGTGACCTTCTAGTTCTCAATCACAGACGCCCAAACTCACGACACCCGCAGACGGGCGAACTTGGTGCACAAGGACCTTATTGAGTCTACGGTGAAGGCGTTCCCGCGCAACGGCTGGAGCGGCTGCTTTGCGGGCACAATTCACAAGGAGCTCAACCTCAAGCCGTGGTGCCATACTACGACGTTTGAGAGTCCTAGTTGGCAGCCAGGCGGGTCCAGCAACTTCGCTAACGACGTCCTCGGGAATACAGTCATGCAGCCTTACGACTGAGTCGTGTGTACGACTGGGATTTTCGACGGAACGGCACATCAGTATCGGTACAGGTAGCCCCATGCCGGTTGTACAGTACGACTTCAAGAGTCTTCTTATGCGTAATACCATGCTTATCCTCTTTCACGCTCTGAGTGGCGAGTTAATGCGCTGCCCGTGCCTGATCTATGACGAATATTAGGCTTGCAGTCGTCAGGGGTGCGGCCAACAGAAGGCTACAAACCGCAAGCTCAAGCTCAAGCTTCAAGCTTCAAGCTCAAAGCCGCGTAAAGACGCCGTCGCCCGACGCCATGTCGTACCGCTAACTACCCGTTATCGCTCTCGGTATAAGTAGACGCACATCAGTCGGCGACTGATTGCCACTGCCGGTTCATGTCCGTCTTCTTTCCCCACCCTCTCCGAGGCTGTTGCGCGCCTCATGTTCCGGTACAATGCGTCGCTACATGCCAGTCTGATCAGAGCCTGGTCAACGGTCTATTCTAGACCATAGGACCTCATGAAAGAACGGGCTCATCTGAGATTGCGTATCACCGATACGCTGCGATCGGACGAGATGTACTCGCAACAGCTCGCGCGGGCCATCATCTGCTGATGTTATGTAATGTTGACCCATCGGTAGCACACCGGTGGACTTGTCCCTGACTTCCATGCCGCGGCGCTGCAACTGCGCCCTGTGAATACATATAGAGCTCCTCATGCATCGCCGAGCCCCCTTCCGACCCCGCATTCGTGGCCCGCATGTCGAGAGTGGCCCGCTCCTCGCCCCATGCTGGAACCGGCCGTTGAACCCGCGCCTATGGACCGCGTAGGCGTTTTTGGGCCCGCTCTCATCAACGTCTTTCTGCAAACGCTGGAGACGGGCTTCATCATTTCTCAGGCCATCACGTTCTGTGATAAGGCGGGGCGCTTCTCGCGTTGGGTATCTGGCATCGTACTCTGTGTTACGC